CAAAACACGAGTTTCCCCCAATACGTCCTTTTTTTGGTTGGCTTCACTCTTTTGGCTTCCCTCCTTGGTTCAACCCTTCAAACAAGGATTGTCTGACCCGCGCTTTCCGCCGAATCCTCGAGCCCATCGGTCCCACCTGCGCTGAAGCGGTACAGCAACTTGGCTTCAGGGCAGTCCCTGGGCGAGACCCAAGAAGAGCATCCCACCTCGATCGCGTGCGCGCGTGGTTGACGACATGGCTGGCTTGTCTTTCTTGGGTCCCAAAAACCCCAACATGGCGAGTCTTCCCTCAGTGGCGAAATCTGCTCCCCTGCTACAAGTGACTACTTTGAGTGGTTTAGTTTGGAAAACCCATGAGTTGGATCAAACAAGTTAAAGTCCTAACATCCCTGGGCAACATGCACCAAAGTTTCTGATGGCTCCCTTTACAACGAAAAGGAAAAGACATCCAAAAAGGGATCGAAGCTGAGGTCCGGGGGGTCCTATACACCAAACACGCGGGCGGATCGAGGGGAGGGGAGGGGAAGCCCCCAGGCGACTCAGCCCCCGCGCCAGGCGTCCGAAGCTGCGGTGAGGGTATCGCGCCTGGCATAGAATCAGCCGGTCTTGCGGTGACTCGCTTCCCGCGAGGGCAACGCGTGCTTGTGCGTATGTGCGTGTGTGTGCGGGTGTGCGTGCGTGCGTGTTTTGGGGGTACTCTGGTCAGGTCAAATAAAGGAGAAGCAAAAAACATCCACGTGAAGGGACTTTGCTACAGATCTGTTCAAGGAAAACACGGGTAGATTGCCAACACGGTTCACCCTCTTCGTTTGCTTGAATATGACAACACACTGCAAAAATGCAGCTGGATGCACGTGGAAGCTTGGGGGTTTGCCACAGCGGCCACATGTTTAACGAAATCCAACGCATTCGGGGCAAATGGACGCCATTTGCTGAATGCAGAAAGACGCGCAGGGAGGTCAGGATCCAGATATGCGTCTATATGCGTCGCGCACCAATCCACAAAAACTCTCCGGCCTCAGTTGAATCAACAAATCAAGCAAAGCCATACCGCGCCTGGAAGATATCATATTTGTCACTATCATCGCAGCACCAATTCTGAGATGGGCTGGTCAGAACTCGTGAGTGGGAGGCCTATAGGCTATAGCCTATAGGCTTCTCAGCTGAAGTACAACAGCACTCTCATAGAAACTGAATCCATCTGAAGACTTCCTTGAGCAAATTTTAAACAAACAACGTTCAGTATTTAGCACCCAGCCAACTTGGGATATTCAGAAGCCAAGACTGGGCTGTGTGCAGATTCTTCTGGCCCAGACTTGTTTCCTTCCCCTTTCCTCGGCCCTTCTTTTACTTCTATTGCGCAGAAAGCCAGCCAACAGAGGGCGGGGGGCTGTCAAACTTCGTGGACTTCGGGGCAGCGAGGCAGCGACTCCCCGCCTGAAAGGCCAGCGCGAAAGGCGCGCCAGCGCAGAGGAAGAGCCTCGTGCTCGAGAAGCTTAGCAAAACATATCTTGGGGGGCTGTCTTTTTACATTTGTTTGAGGGTACCCCTTGGTTGGTAGCTTTACACCAGAAGCAGAACGAAGCCCTCACTATCTGTATTTTATTGTTCATTTGGGGGGGGGCTAAACAAAGGACACTCCAATACTTAAAAAACGTCTCCAACTCAAACGTCAAACGCCCGGCATCAAGAAGTGGATCCAGATGGCCAGATCATGTTTGCCTGGGCGCCGCACAGCCGCACCCTATCGATCCCAAGATGGTCCAGACCTGAGCGCGAGATTTTTCAGCCATGGAACCCAAAGGGGGGGGGGGTGCTGTAGGAACTTCCTGTGGCGCGGAACCCAAGCCAGGGGGGGGGGGGGGGGGGGTTTTGTAGGAACTTCTTCCGGCATTTCTGGACTTCCGGTTCCGATGTCGCTCTACCACATTTCACAGTCCAGGTGAAGGAGATGGATTGCTGTGGGCATCTGCTATGTTCAGTGCGCTGATGATGCATGCTTGGGGAAACAGCGCAAAAACGGGCTGGAAATGTGTCGCGAAAACTCCTGATCTTCAGCCCGAATGGATTCGAGTCACTATGCCACCACTCTCTTCAGTTGGGTGAAAAGCGGCACAATTCCTCCTATGTTGGTTTAGTTACCTTTACTTGCCGAGGGATCGTTGCCATCTGCTCAAAGAGTAAAGCAGCCAGAAAGCCACTGCGCAAAAAGAAGGCGCATCTCTCAGAAGCCCAGCGCTTCTTTGGGGTGTAGTGGGGGGGGGGGGGGCGGAACTTGATTTTAAAGCCCCTCCAAAACCAGCGAAACGGCCGTACCACTGAGCGTCTGGAAAGTTCTGAAGTTCGAAGATTAGCAATGATTGCATCCGTCTTCGGTTGACTGGATGTACTTGTTGCAGTGCAATGTGCTTGGGCAGCTCTCAAATCACCGCTATCAGCTTCGATTTCGACTACTCCAAGTGAACCATAAACGCATGGCCCATTAGCCCACCACACACGAACACACATCCACGATGTGTCCTCTTGTTGAGGAGGATACATTCATGTCACATACACGGCCTCAAACATATATGTTTTCACATGCTTCCGACCCGTTTTTTGCATCATGCCAACTTCGAATTTGTTGCTTCTCTCCCGTCCAAGGCTATGAACAAGTTTCTGACGCCGCAAAAGAAGGCCGGTGCCGAGAAACAGGCTAGGTCCTCCAGTAGAGAGGTTAGAATCAGGGCACCAACTTTTTCTGTAGGCGATTTTGGTAGGGGAACCCCCCCAACCAAAAAAGAAACGGGTGAGAGGTCCACCTTGGGGGACCTCCAGCATCTCCAGAGCCACTCCCAACCGGGGACTTGGAACATTCCTGGTGAGTGCCCCTGACTCCCAACAATGGGCCGCATGACGGTGAACTATTCGAGAAAACAACTCAGACATATACCCAAGAATATGGGGGGTCCAGGTTATTTTTCAGTGGATGTACTTTTTGGATATCCAAAACCCCATTGACTGGCTATCGCCTTCGCATGTGAGACAGTCGACAAACAGAAGCCGAAGGCTTCGCAGTGCTACCCCAAAATGAAGTGATAGGATCTATCAAGTGCTTACGCACTTGCACCTACTGAAATAAATACACGTTTTCGGGTCACTTGGATGAGAGCATGTTGTAAGTTGTGATTAAAAGCAGAAGCCCCAGTATCGTAAGAATCCAGCACCTTCACGTGATAAAAAGCAAAATGACCGCCCTCCCGGTTGCTATAGAGCAATAATGATGTACCCTCTACCCCAAGAACCTTTAAGAATAAAGGATGCAAACGAAAAACCTGGTTTTGAGCCTGTTGCTTACTGAAAACCGGGTTTTCCACCCGAAAACCCGTTTTACTTTGAACAAAATACAAAACCCATACAAAACCCGTACAAACCCCAGACAGAACCCGTACGTTTGTATGCTTTTCATAGAACCGGGTTTTCCCGCGAAGAACCCGGTCTTTGTCGATAACCTTTAAAATAAACGGTTCTTGGAGTAGAGGGTATATACAATGAAGCTGACTTGTTCGTAGCCTTCCAAAATTGGCATATCCAACTCATGTGTTCATCTTACTGCATAGTTTTTTTTTTTTTTTTTTTATTATGGCGTTGGACGGTCTGCCGCCGCAAGTAGTCCACTTGAATCAATATGTTAGATTGCACACATTCACCAGAAGTGTACTTAGGTCTACAACCAACTAGTAGCTCTTGACTGGGCTGCCCTCAGAGCCCCCGCCAAAAGTTTGATTTTTAGTGGGTAAAATGGAAACTATACCACTAAACACTAAAAGGCTAAAAAAGCTAAGGGCATCCCACGCCTGGCGACAAGCCAGCGACTTTCATGGATGACCTGTCCAAGCTGAAAGGGCCAAATCAGGGGGTCGCGCAGCTTTTCTGCCTCATTGGACTCGAAACTGTACACTGTACACTTCCTGGTTCTCAGTAGGGAATCCAAAGGAGTTGAGCCGTCGGAGGGGTCCGTGGCTTCGCTTGTTGGATTGAAACCACATAGGGGTTTCTCATTCCCTCGGAACCCCTGCTGAGAACCAGCATGTCAAACCTGGCTGGTCACGTCGGCCAAGCATCGCGCGGCCAGGCCATAAGCCCAGAAGTGAGTTTTCAGGCGAGGCCCCATTGAGCCCATCCGACCTTCCTAGGTCCTGTAGAGAGGTTAGAATAAGTTGGTACCAACTTCTTTCTGTACGTAGTCTATTTCAGTAGAGGAACCCTCCCAACCAAAAAAGGGCTGAGAAAGGGCACTACTGGGGGACCTTGTTTCCGTCCCGGAGGATCGATCCGAAGATTGAGAATTGGAGGCCTCCTGTCAACATGTCAACACCCAGAATGCTTCTGGTGGTTTCTTAAAAATAAACAGGCTATGTACAAAATCATCCAGACCTGCGAACACAAGAAAGCTTGTGGGTCAATATGATCATCAAACCAACACGCACGTCTTCTTTCCATTGGAGGCCGTCGCTGTCAGATCAGCGCTTGCCACGCGGCAACGGCCCACAGGTCCCGACGGCAGATTCCCCAAGTGCCAGTGGCTGTGCTCCAGTTTTCCAATGCCCGTGGATCCCAGTTGCAAGCCCTTGCAGGTAACCAGTTCTTTCGGCTAGTGCTACAAAACCAGGTAAAATCCAGGGGTTGATTCCCCAGGTGAATCCATTTATCTAGGACCGCCGTGGATGGCTATTTGGGTGTGTCCTTTTTTTTTGAGGGTAGCCGTTTTGGTGGGTTGAAGGGGAAATCAAAAGGGACACCCGTTTGAACTCCATGGGTAACTTCCCGATTTCCAGGGATCCGAATCTTTCTAGACCTCCGGAATCCCAGGGAATGTCTGAGAAAAAGAAAAACGATGCTTGAAAAGAATCAACCCCTAGAATAGTAGGTAGTTAGGGTTTAGGGTTTAGGGTTTCAGTTATCTTTAATCATTCCAAAGCCAGGTAAATGGATTCACTGTGCATGCCGATGCTTTCTCACTATCGGGGAATCGAGTGCCTTCTATGCATGGTCTCAGAAGCGCTCCGATTCAGGACACCTGCTAGGACGGAGCCAGGTGTCACAAAATCACGAAAGTGCGCAACCGCCTCCATACTTCCGCGTGTCCCTTGCCTCTCTGAATCAGCGCATAAGATCACAAGGTCGTGCGAGTGCTTGCGGAGACCTCACCATGTCTGACAAGAACATAAACGTCTCTTGCACACTGGCTACGGGATTAAGGGTTTGGTTTTAAATTGGAGACCCTTCGCTTGAAATCGTTTTTGGTGGGGATCTGTGTCCGACCGTCCACCAACCATTTGGGAGGGTATTCCTGCTTCAAAGTCTTGATCCCCGCGCGCCGGTGTTGCAGGAGAGCTGAGTTTGCGAGACCTGGCTTCAACAAGCGAAGCAACAAGCCATGAGGTGATTCGGGGCTGCTGTGGCTCTATTTGTGTTTGTTTTTGTGCTTCATCTGCCTTTTGAGTGCTGATTTTCTACTTACCCTTCTATTGTGGCTATGTAGTCAAGGTGCTAGATGCTGATTCCCACTTGTGGCACGTCCTTTTCATCCCAGTGGGTCCCCTTAGGTGTGCAATACTGTGGGTGGACAAAATCCATTTCGCATCACCTAAGACTTTAAGAAACCCTGAATTGATGACTCCCCTCTACATACCAACAAAGAACGGTCTCCAAAGGGCTTCTTAGGTGGAGCAGGATTTCGTCCATCCACAGTATGGCGATGCGCCTCTCAAAAGCAACTCCAAGAACACCTTAAATGGATTCCTGATATAAAACGCATGGATATTGAAGCCTCTAAGTGCTCGACCATTCGAAGCATGTGAAGGTGAGTTTCAAAGTTCAGACATCTCCGAAAAGAAGGTGGAACAAAGCAAAACGATGTCGCTACTGTTCTCATTAGATGCGGAAGTGCGAGAGTGCAGAACCCCTCCCCCTCCCCCACACCCACACCCACGCCCCCCCATAATATCCAACTTGCACGAGTCTCTTGTCAAGCCGGCTTCCCATTTCAATTCTTTCCACCTGGGCCAGACATTTGGACCCCAGAACAGCTGCGAGCTTCTACGCTGGCTAAGAGGAAGCAAAGGAACCCCCAAGAGGGCGACAAAGCGACGGAGAGGGCAACAAGGTGAGTCAAGTCTGGCAATACCCCCTAAAAACTTTCCATGGCACGCTATGCAAGTTGGCAACACTCAAAAGCTCTACGCAAAACCGGGCCCTTGTGTCAACTTATGTCCCCAGAGCCTTTCCAAACCCATTCCCAAACCCTCCCCAACTCCCTCCCAGCCCAATGCGAGCGGCTGCTTGGCGGATGGCCGCGGCTTCAAAGGAGCCCATCGACTGGACCAGCTGCCTTTGGTGCCCCAACTGTGCATGGCTGCGAAATCCATTTCGCACCTAAGAAACCATCATAGAAACCACTGTTTGTTGGCATTGGGAATCAGACCGTTCCAGGGCTTGGTGCGAAATGGATTTCGCAACCATCCACAGAATGGTCCCCGCCATTTTGGGCGGCCGACTCACACCCCACAAGGCTCCCCAAGGCCAAACCCACATTGAATGCGGCTAAAAAAGAGATCCTACAAGCCACAGCTCCGCGCCTGGAGAATTCCGCCTCACATTGGCAACCGAGAAGCCCATGGGACAAAACAATCTACGTAACTAACTAACAAGGGAACAAACGATCGAACTCTCCCGCCGCAAACCATACAGGACTGGACATCTGTGAAAATTCGCCCCTGGGACAGGAAGGACACAGCTATCCTCTTGTTTTGCTCTTGCGTGTTGAGGTTCTTTTGGCCAACTCAAGATCTACGGTGTTTGCTTACTAGGGAAGATCAGGGTTCGGGTTAGACCTGGTCCAACTCGGAGTATGTTGTTCGGTGATGTTAGGTGTTGCCCACCACTCACTTGCACCTAGGAATTGGCCTAATGGTTCTTTGACCCCGGCGGTTTGCGCCGGAAAACTTCTTGCTTTGGCCCGAGGCATGGGCGGATATCTTTGTTGGTGGGTATATCTCGTAGCTTGAAGAGAAGCACCAATTCCTCAACTATGTACAAGCTTGAATTTTGCCCGAAGTGAGACTGAAAATAAAAACTGATAATCAGGCATGACACTTTATTGAAGCACAACGATGTGTCCAAATCAAGTCAGTTGTTCATGAGAAACCCCAGTGATTGAATTGACACATACCTTAAGAACCCCCGAGTCGCCTTCAAAACAGAATTGAAACGGTCTACCCAGAATCATGGAAATCAACGGCGGCTGCACCCAGTTCTGGTTGGGGCTATCCCTTACGGGGTTTTGATTGTGGCTCGAATGGGCTTGCTTCTTTCTCAAGGACTGCTTATGGAAGCTAACTGGAAAAACCCGAGTGCTCATGTTGCGGCTCCAACTTCCTACTCAGTTGGGTGTGTGTTTTAGGCACCCCCTCCCCGAAAGGGCAATTTTTCCCTCGAGCCATTTCAAGAAGGGTACCCCAACAAAAGACACACCCGTGTCTTCGGGCGTGTCCTTTGAGGGGTTTCACCACCCCAAGCCCCGTTGAGAGCGTCTGTATCTCAAAGTTGATGGCAGACTCAACGTTCGCTTCTCCTGTTGCTTTTCAGTCCCTACCACCCAAAAACGGGGCTAGCCGGGCTAGCCTCAAAAGGCAAATCAACATGAAAGGTCCACAGCAATAAAAGGGCATTGCCTGCCTAGTTGTGACTCTCTGCCCAAATTCGCACAATTCTGACATGCGGGCTTGAAATTGTTATATTTGTCATGCACCCCCATGAGAGAAGGCTCCGAACCGACGACAAAAAGTAAAGATTAGTCGTCTGTATGACCCCCTCTCCCCCCCCATGAGGCTCAACGAAAAACCACCAAAAGGGGGTACCAACTCCAACGTCTCCATCGACCCCCCCCCCCCCCCGAGCTGCGAGAACGCCGAGTCCGGCGTGCGCAGCAGCTCGCCCGGCGCTCCGAGCTCCGCCAGCTGCCCGGATTGAAGGACCATGACCTGGGATTCCGTGGGGTTTCTTTTGCTTTTCTGTGTCCCTCAACTCTCAACCCTGAGTTAGGTCGGGTCATCATCATCATCATCATCATCATCATCATCATCATCATCATCATTTCCTTCGGAAGCCCGGTTGCCCTCCTGTCTACGTTGCCGTGGAACCTGACGTTTCGGGGTCCTGGAAAACTGTGTTCCATGAAAATGGACTGTCCGGAACCGGTGGGTTCAAGGTTAGTGGAGAGGGCGGGGTCTCAAAAGGGGATCTGCCACTTGCATGTTCGCTGTCTGGAAAACATAGAAATATTCTCGTAGTGATAGATCCCGAGGCCTCTAGTTTCCACCCCCCAAACCGAAGCTACCCGCAGAAATGTCATGGGACAGCCACGTAGTTTGCCACCAGACAAAGGGTATTGCATGAAACGTCTGGGGTAGTGGTTTGGGGTAGTGAAACCCATTTAGAAAGCCCGGTTACCGAAAAGGGGAGGTCGGGGGTTGATCAGAAGGTCCGTGATGCATGGGATGACCATTGGTTGAAAAAGCACAACAAGGATTTGCTGATCAACCTCCATGTATGTAATCCAAAGGTGTGTCGGCTTGAAGGGAAACCAATCTTTTTCGAGGTCCCGCTATTTTGACACATACCTATCTCCGCCCTTTGGTTTAAAAATCACATGAGCTGAGTTTTGCTTTGAGGCTACCTGTCTTTTGTGTCCTTGAATGCAACACCTACATGTGAAGCAGGCCTTGCGAAATATGTGAAGTCATGACTGGCATTTACTCACACGGAAACCAAACAGTTGCATCTCGAGGGCCTGTGTGAAACCGGCTTGGGCCTTCATTGTTGATCAACGTCAACACTCAGAATTAGTTTGTCGTATCTGTCTGACCATTTATCAGCAAATACGGCCCACAAGCCCTGTCCTGTCAAAACACGTAATCATCCAATCTGACTTTGTCTTCACTCACACACACAGACACCTCTTGTTGCATGCTGTCTCAAAGGCCAAGCCTGCGTCCCCCAGACCTGTGGAGTCCAATCACACAACGCGAAACCTGACTGTCAATTCAAAGAATGCTCCCCCCTGAGCCGAGCTCCCCTCTGGTCCCATGTCCAAGGAAACTTCGTCCAGCCGAGTTGCCTTGTCATAGTCCGCGACAGTTATCAGACGATGTGCGATGGTCAAAAGGCTTGCCTCAAATGTCCTGAGCTGCTCGTCTCGTGTATTTCGGCGACAGTTTGTGAGACTTGCACGCATTCAGGCACGGAGGCACGCATGTACGCACGCACACACATACACACACACACACACATTGAAATCATTAAACCATCGATTTGGACATCGATGAACCTGCATGGGACCCAAAGTACCCAGGACGCAATAGAACATGGGCGTCCACATACAAGTATGCAAAGATATGCTATATACGTGCACATAATATAATATATATGTCTGCCTGGCACCTGTCCTCACTTGACGTCTATACACATCACCGCCACACAATTTGCGCAGTTCTCGCTTAACGCAGGACGGGACAACGAAAGAAGCATAAACCTTGGTGAAACTTCCTGCGCCCATTGGATGACACCTTGTGCGAGCGAGGCATCTGGGTGCGACCTTTTCTTTCAGACCATGCCATCTTTTAGGTGGGGACTTATGTCCACCAACCACCTTTTTTACGGTGGTTCCATGTGGGTCCCTACATTCATGGGCATCTAGCCGGTTCAGTCATCTGTTCCAGCACGAAGCCGGGGCTTGGATACCAGATTTGTGGGCTCATTGCCACCCAGATCATCACCAAACGCGCCACAGACAAACACACACACACACAGACACAGACCCTGTTTGCATTGCAGCCCGTTGCCAAGTCCCGTTGCCTCCGACCCAAAAGTTGTTGAGTCTCTGAGTGCATTTAGCTCCCCAGAGTCGATCGCCAAACAACCACTCCCTTGAAGTCCACAAGGCTTTGGCCCGAATCCCGCTTTGAGAAACTCCCACAGGTCCGTGGAACCCATGGAACCCGAGGGGTTCCGTTTAAGGAAGCGACGATGTCCCGGCGACGATGGTCAGGTATGACAACGTTGGGAGACGGGGGTCCTCGGGCCTCCCATGTGAAACACGTAGTTGACCCGGACCCTATATATAGATATATATGTGTGTATATATATATATATGTATATATATATATATTCATATGTTTGGATTTGAAGACCGCAGGTAGGGGAGTCCTAGGTTCTACAAAGACTCACTGATCGAGTGGATTGGCCAGAAGAATAAAAACAACCACACGTGTTGCCACTGAAATGGTCACTTGGGTGACTCCAGTCCCACTTGGAACTCAGGATATTCTGGGCTCTCAAATGTAAACAGCCTAGAATGGGCGGTTTCCTCTCAGAGAAGAAGAAACTCAGAGACCCCAGGATCCTGGGCTTGTCTCAACATTTATTGTTAAAAAAAAAACCTAATTACAAGCGGTTTCCTCTCCGAGAAAAAGGAACCTCAGAGACCTACGGTCAAGAAACGGACCCCTCCCCATGGCCCCACCACGTGTCCGCCTCCCAAAACTTCCACCGAGGCGCTGCACCGCTCGGCGCAGGCAGAGCTGGACACTTTGGTCCGTCTTGGCATCCACCGAACTGGTGGCCTGCGCCGTGACGAAGCTCGTAGGAGGAGGGGGGAGGGGAAAAGGACGAAGCGGGGGGGGGGGGGTTTAGGGCAGAGGCGTTTGGACAGAAATGATGAACCCAGAACCATGCTTCAAGAATTAAGATGGCGGCCGCAACCATTTATGGCAAGGGGATTGCCCCTTGCTAACCTTCATTTACCCGGGTTTTGATTGTGACCCAGTTGAGGGAGAGAGGGACGGGGGACGGGTAAAAACAAAAGGCTATCCAAAAATACTGGCAAAATTAGCTTTGCTTAGGTTTCGGGTATTTCCCTGGTCGGAGCTTAGCCCTCCAATCCCAAAAAACTGGCCCTATGCCCTAAGAATCTTGACAACCCCCATTGCCTCTGGGCCTCTAGAACACCTTCCACGGCCCGAAGCTCCACGACACCTCCAATGAAGTTTGGACTCTTAGGGTGTAGTAATAATCGCATTTGCGGACCACCTGTCCCGAGGGGACGTGGCCGAAAGAAACATGAGCATCAGCAGAAGTCGTCAACCATGCTTTTGCTCGGTCCGAAACACTGGGTTGTTCAAATTGGGGGGGGGTCTTCAATCCTAAAAAAGTAATCAGCAGTGGGACACCACTACAAGGACTAAGGATTGACTATGAACCACCCAGCCGTATGTACAGCAGTGGACAAACTAAGGGTATAATAGTTGGTGACATGATCAGCCCTGCAACTGTGCAAAGAGACTCTTTGAGGCTACCATCCCTTCAACCATGCCCGATGGAGGACACACAGCCCAAGAGCGGCAAGAAAAGCCCGTAGTGAACATCCCAATCCCCACTAAAGTAGACAAAAATGGGTGGCGCACCTACCCCAAAATGAAATCCCAAATCGGTTTTGATCCCCTAAGAATGTCGATGCCTCGACGCAGGCCTCGTCGCACACCAAAAGCCGGGGCTTTCGAAGCAGCGCCCGCGCCAGGCACAGGAGCTGGCGCTCGCCTCGAGTGAGCCATTCAACTTCTTCAAGGTTGACATACGTTGTGGACCGTTGTGGTTACTCGGCCGGCTTGCTGCACTCGAGGTGTCCAAAGCTCACCAAAGCAACTGCTGACCGGTGTCAGGGGTGTGCAGGAAGCCGACGGCGGCTCGCTACGGAACTTGACTTGGCAACTGCTTGGTGAAATCCCAACGTATCCAGCCACTGTGAAGGACGAGGAGACTCGACGCGAGCAACAAAAAAAAGTATGTCGTGGACATGCGTTAATTTGAGCAACAGTGCGGTCGATGCGCATGCAGGCAAGTGAAACCTTGAACCACAATCCATCGCAGCATGTCCTGAGTTGAACAATCACTTAATTTAACACATCCCAGCATGTAGCAATGTATGATGGTCCCATGTAAAGTTGATAGCTCATGGTCATGCTTGCAATCTGCTTGCAAAAGCACCACACATCGCTCCATACTCGCCCCACAACAGGAACTGATTCGAGGACGCAGCATCCAAGGTGGCATGCATTTGATTCTTGGTCTGGATCATCAGACTGTAGCACATGGTTGGTCCAAAAATAGGGCGACCAAATGGGGCAAACCCTGGTGCATGGAACCAAGGAGGATTTCCCCCGCTGTCCATACGCTGGCGACGAATTTTGGACCCATGGCAAGTCCTTGGCGAGCAGAGCCACCCGAGAATGAGCGAAGCCGGGAGCAGCGAAGCGAAGCCGGCAAAGAATGGCTTTGTAAATACTTGGTTGCTGTTGACCCTGCAAAAAGTGAATATTTTTTTTGGGGGTTAGTGGAAACCCAACTTTATTTCAACCAAAAAGTTGAAGTCTAAAGATCCAACCCAATAGCAGTCAAGAATAGAGTGGCTTCCAGGATAGACATACTGAGCTCATGAACTGATGCCGCAGGAAACGGCGGAAGACATATCAGGGTTGGAATTCCCCATCAGGTGTGTTGCGGCTTGCATACAGCAAACTGAACATGCTTTTCTTACAAATCTACTCAATTCACAAACAACATCTTGGAACTCTACCTGCAAAACTCCGCAATCACCTGCCCAAAACCCCAAGTGTCAAAACATATTTTCAGTGAAACGCGCAGCAACAACATCGGCCAAGCATTCAGCATCAACTCACAGGAACAAATGGCAGGCAGGTCCGCAAATGCAAACCAAACCCCCACCCCACCTCCCCCCCTCCCCCTTGGAGCCGGTGAGTCCGTTGAGCCGAGTTGCCCACGGAGAGATTGGAGCCTGCTTGCTCGATGGGGCTCTTGAGCGTTAACGCCAGCTGCGCATGCTGCAGAGCTTCCATGCAGGTCCTGAGCCGGGCTGCCAGGATACAAGGCCATGGTAATTTACATATGGGTGTGGCTGAAAACAAGGAATCGGACTTCCCCAAATGGGGGTTTTACGCATCTTGGAATCTTGACCTGTCGCAAACTCAGAGCGCCAAAGTTTTTTTTACATGCCCTTCCCAGGAGCCTTCGGAAGCTGCTGCAAGGGAAGCAGGGTACTCTCACTGAAACGGGGGCTTGGGTCAACCCAGTTCGATGTGCCAGGGCACCGCCAAGAATGTACCAAGACATAAGGCTGACTCTTTGACTGCTCCCATGAGGAAAGTCCCTCACCCTCAGGCAAATTCCGGAAAAATTGCGCAGTAGTCTCCCTTTGGGCAAAAAAATGGCCTCACCCATGCTGGGTATTTCAGGCTCAGTTGGATAAACAGGGATCGTCTCTGAAGAACTTGCAGGGACCCAGTGTCAATCTGCCTTAAGCCTGGGCGCTGGTCGTCGAATTCCCCGAAGGGGTCGAGGTTGTACTGCACTGTGCCACTGAAGATCACAGGGTCCTGTTCACGACTAGATCCCTTGTTAGCCGTGTGAGAATCTGGCACAACAAATTGAAATCCTCCTCTTACGACCGCCACACTGCAAGCAAACATTCACACACAGCCAAAATGTACGCCCGATGCTTCTAGGAATTGGGAGTCCCCCGTTCTTCCTCGTGTGACCGCTGACGCCCCCCGGATCACGGATGTTCAAAGACATGCTTCAGGCCATGGCTGTCCAGAGTGTGTCCTTCTGTACGTCTTGCATAATATTCTCCGAGCTTGCAGCACATGCTCAGTCTAGTCAAAGACACCTTCTAGCCGTTGTCTAGATTTTTAGGCGTTGGCCTGTTGCAGTTCTGGCAAAGTCATATCTCCTTTCCAGGGTGTGTCTAGCAAAGTCTTCCTGATACGTTGGTCCCAGCACATTGCTAGCACATATCCAAAATCTTTCTAGCATCGGACGAGCATGTGCCCATCTTAGTCATGGTATACGTCATATGTCTAAGTGTTTTTTGATGCATAGCAAGTAGGTCTTGTCTGCTTCATATGTGTTGCATGGTTTACGAATCAGATTTGCATTGAAACATGTGCCTCATGAACTTCTAACAAGTTCTGGCACATGTTTGTCTGAACAAATAAACAACACACACGTAGAGATTCGTCAAATAAGCCACAGTGAGCATGTGTGTCCCCAATTACTGTTGAACATGACCGGCTGGTGATTTGCCGTTGGTGTTCCCCATGTCGCCCCCCGCCCCCCACGCCCCCTTAAAAAAGAAGACAACATATTATGAAACACAACAACACATTGATTTAGTGTATACTAAGGTGGTCGTAGTTCGCAAACAATAGCCACAACAATAGAACATGTAGATTGGCTCAACAATGTGCACGCCCCTAGTACCCTGCCTGGGATATCAACTGCGTTAAGACCTGCCGAGTATGAGAAGCGCGAAGCAGAGTAGCTGTATTCTGAAGATCACTCGTGCCGTCCTGAGTGATGATGCCCATGGATCGCCGTGCCACATCCAAGGGCCTTGACAACTGCACTCACCGATCGAGGGTGCTTCAGTCACAGTGCAGAGATGTGTTCATGCGCGGAATCTGGGTATAGCTCCAATGCTCAAAAAAACGACTTGCCAAGAATGTGAAAGCTACTATTGGGTGTATCTATTTTCAGGGACCCCCCCAAGCAAAGGTGGTTTTCCTCTTGGCTTCCGTTTAAAACCGCCAAAACAAGGTACCCTCCAGAAACAAGAAAAAACACACCCAACTGTGCATTTGAACATGCCTCAGCACATCCCTGCAATACACGGCAATGTGAGCTTAAACTTGTCCGGCCTGGCTCAAAACCAGAACACCCTCGGAGTGATTGATTTCAGTTTGGCGTGTGCTCGAGATTCAAGATATGCACGAAATAAGACGGGTTAATGTGCAAAGGTTGTTTCAGGGGGTGCAGTTTAAGGTTGGCCAGTGTAGGTTTGAAGAAGACTCAGGAGTCTTCAACAAACAAACATCTATGTGCGTAAAGGGCAAAACTGAAACACAACAAGGAAACTGACTTTCTCAATGTTGATTCCCCTTGCACCGTCCGCCATTTTGAGAAACGCCTGCCCCCCCAAACCCCCCCTCCCCCCCCAAACTCCCCGAGGCCCTAGCAACTGCGCGAGGTCCTGGCCCAGTAATCGAACCTGGCCCCCCTCGATGGGACACAGCCGGAACCTGGCCGCTGCGCCGGAGAAAAAAAAACACAACACGTCGCCCGGGGCATGGGTCGGAATTAAACAACCAGGATATGGACCGCAGGTTTCTGTCCACGTTTCCATTTACCAGGGCAAGCCAAGTTGGGTACCTATTCTTGACCCACAGCCAGGTGTTTTTTTTGTTTTCCCGGTTTTTCTTCTGAGTGCCAGGGGTGACACACGTGACATGCGCGTGTTGGTTTGAAGCAGGGGGGTGTATACATGTAGGTACAATCTCTGTGTGTGTGGGTGTCGTATATATATATATATATATGCACCGCCCCTCAAAACCCGTGCTTTCTGCTTATGTAATGGGGTCAAGTAATTGTAGACTGAATTACCAAAAGTGGGCTCATTTCACAAGACTTGCGCGGATGATTCATTAAGACTTTGCCACCCATATAATCTAGATCTTGAATCTTGCATCCAGTATGGGACCCCCAAAACGCTTTAAAGCGCGCTAACACACTTTTGGATCTAAGATCAAAGATTCAATATTCCCAGGACTTCAAGCACTTTAAAGCACTTATATTATGGATTCAAGATTCAAGAACTAGAGTCCTAGGAATCTTGAATCTTAGATCCAATGTGCTTCAAAGCGCTTGAAAGCGTTTTAAAAGAATACAGTCACAGTCACATGTCAGCAGATTCGGGCATAGATATATGCTCAAAATTGGAGTGCCTGAAAAGGGAGTGGACATCGCACAAAAATACTGCAAATACCGTCGAATTGTGTTGGGGTGTGATTTTTTGGGGTGGGGGACCATATGTATAATATAATATACGTACACATAGCTACGTATGGTAGCTCCCGTCCCAAATACCAAGGTCTTCAACTGCAAAAACCATGTGCATGCTGCAGAATGTACAATGCATAATAACGATATGAGCGATATGTACAGCAACCTGTGTAAGACCGCATCCACGCATCACGCAGGTTGGTTGATTGTGTTCTGTAAGCTGCACCTCCCCAACTTGCTTCTGTTTGGTGACGTCATGCCCACAGGAGAAAAAAAAGATAGAAAGCTCACTCTGCCCCTGAGGTAAGTCGTGGGCAAACTTGTTCTCGGTGGATTAATATTTTTTGGATATGTTTCGGGAGGTTTGGAACCAGTTCCGAATCGTCCGGTTCTCCAGGAGTTGGACACAAATGCAATCTATGCACATCACAAGCTGAATATTATGCCACCTAAACATGAACACAAGCAAATCGTATCAGATCGTATCAGAATGCGAGCGGCTCGCATTGGTCCCGGAACTGTTGCACTTGCAACACAGGCGCCGGTCCGTGGCTCGATCCCAAACGGGCCGCTCGGCTCGGCTGTTTGCCACCGGCACCCAGAAGCACCACTGGGCCCGTTTTCGGATCGATCCCGGGCCGAAAGCTGAAAACTTGCGGCTTAGAAGGGACACCCAACCACCAATCCCTTCCCCCTATTAATAAATACGGGTCCCCCCCCCAATTATAAAAAAATCCTCCCAAGCAAAACCTTCTTTTGCACCGGACGAGTCGGAACTGGTTCCAAGCCACCCGAAACATATCCAACAAAACCTTCTTTTGCACCGGACGAGTCGGAACTGGTTCCAAGCCACCCGAAACATATCCAACAAAACCTTCTTTTGCACCGGACGAGTCGGAACTGGTTCCAAGCCACCCGAAACATATCCAACAAAACCTTCTTTTGCACCGGACGAGTCGGAACTGGTTCCAAGCCACCCGAAACATATCCAACAAAACCTTCTTTTGCACCGGACGAGTCGGAACTGGTTCCAAGCCAAAAAAAAAATCCCCTTCGACCTACGACCCTTCGACGGCGGGGTACAAAGCCACCGCCAGCGTGGACTTCCCGGAGCCGGTGCGGCCCACCACCGCCAGGCGCTCCTGACTTATGCACGCGGGAGAGATGTTAGGTCCTCCCGTAAGCAAAGGCAACCCACGTTTGGGAGATCTCCTTGTCTAGGTCCTCCAGTGGAGAGCTTAGAATAAGATGGTACCCGATTTGTTTTCTTCTGTCTAGATCGCCAGTTGCTGTTTTGTCTTTCCCATGCACTTTACCCCAAAAACCAGCAACCATGACTGAAAAAAGCCATCGCAACTTGGCTATCTAGGGAGTTTCCATCACAAGGTTCTCCAGTGGAGAGGTTAGAATAAGGGCACCAACTTGTTTCTTTCTATTTTAGTAGGGTTCCGAACCCTCCCAACCAAAAAAGTTGGGAGAGAAGGGCACCTGGCTGGACCTAGGTTCCGTCCGTTCCCTCATCCCATGGAGTGGATGGCCCAAACAAAGGAACCGGGACTGTCGGTATTTACCACTAAAATGGTTTCCCACCCGCAACTAAATATATATATATATATATATATATGGCAGGGCCCCACAAGTCAAAAAAAAACTTGGTATTGGAAGGGGGTCTTAGCATATATATGTATATATAAATAATAGTAATAATATAATAATAATAACAATAATAATAACAATAACAATAATAATAATAACAAACAATAACAATAATAATAATAACAATAATAATAACAATAATAATAGTAATACTAATAACAATAATAGTAACAACAATAATAATAGTATTAATAATACTAATAATAATAACAATAACAATAATAATAACAATAATAATAGTAATACTAATAACAATAATAGTAACAACAATAATAATAGTATTAATAATACTAATAATAATAACAATAATAATAATAAGAATAGTAATACCAATAACAATGATAATAACAATAATAATAACAACAACAATACTAATAATAATAACAATAACACTAATGATAATAATAATAATAATAATAATAATAATAATAATAATAATAACAATAACAATAATAATAACAATAACAATAGTAATAACAATAATAATAATAATAACACTAATAATAATAACAATAATAATAACAATACTAATAAACATAACACTAATCCGCCGACCCCTTGTCCGCAAGGGCGAGGCGCACGGGAAGGGTGGTTGATAGAAAATACAGAGCTGCAAGCGGAAATGGAAATGAGGACAATGCATCATCCTCATCATGTTCATCATCATCCTCGTGATTATCATCATGGTAATCCTACCTAGTTTGAGCCTGCCAGTAGCTTGTCTGGTCGTCTCATCATCATCATCATCATCATCATAATCATCATCATCTTCATCCTCTTCCTTATCTTTATCATCGTCCTCATCTCAACCTTGACAAACTTGCAATTTTGTCAGGGTAGTCTGCGCGGCCTAATGGACAACCCATTTGCAGAAGAAAAACATTAACTGCCCCTGACACCATGGTTCTGAATTTGTCTACAAGCATATGACTACTGGCAGGATCAACTAAAGTTGTCCATCACGCGGATGCTTAGCAAAAGATGCGTGGACATGATCATCATGATGACTGCTGGAGATGCAAAAGCTGCGTGGACATGATTATCATGAGGATTGCTGGTTATCATCTTCTATAGTGTATATGAGGTATATAGTCTAATGAGGTAATAAGGATTGCTGGTTATCATCTTCTATCTTCTATATATATTATCATCCTCATCATGTTCATCAGTTGAGGCGTGCTGTTCCTGACAGTGCCAGATGAGGGCGAAAGGCGAGGTGTTGGTGATGCTGAGGATGCGCTGGCATATGAGCATAACCGAAGCTTCATCCTCATAAGGTTACATCATTACCATCCTCATCATCATCATCCTCATCATGTTCATCATCATCCTCGTGATTATCATCATGGTAATCCTACCTAGTTTGAGCCTGCCAGTAGCTTGTCTGGTCGTCTCATCATCATCATCATCATCATCATAATCATCATCATCTTCATCATCTTCCTTATCTTTATCATCGTCCTCATCTCAACCTTGACAAACTTGCAATTTTGTCAGGGTAGTCTGCGCGGCCTAATGGACAACCCATCTGCAGAAGAAAAACATTAACTGCCCCTGACACCATGGTTCTGAATTTGTCTACAAGCATATGACTACTGGCAGGATCAACTAAAGTTGTCCATCACGCGGATGCTTAGCAAAAGATGCGTGGACATGATCATCATGATGACTGCTGGAGATGCAAAAGCTGCGTGGACATGATTATCATGAGGATTGCTGGTTATCATCTTCTATAGTGTATATGAGGTATATAGTCTAATGAGGTAATAAGGATTGCTGGTTATCATCTTCTATCTTCTATATATATTATCATCCTCATCATGTTCATCAGTTGAGGCGTGCTGTTCCTGACAGTGCCAGATGAGGGCGAAAGGCGAGGTGTTGGTGATGCTGAGGATGCGCTGGCATATGAGCATAACCGAAGCTTCATCCTCATAAGGTTACATCATTACCATCCTCATCATCATCATCCTCATCATGTTCATCATCATCCTCGTGATTATCATCATGGTATCCTACCTAGTTTGAGCCTGCCAGTAGCTTGTCTGGTCGTCTCATCATCATCATCATCATCATCATAATCATCATCATCTTCATCATCTTCCTTATCTTTATCATCGTCCTCATCTCAACCTTGACAAACTTGCAATTTTGTCAGGGTAGTCTGCGCGGCCTAATGGACAACCCATCTGCAGAAGAAAAACATTAACTGCCCCTGACACCATGGTTCTGAATTTGTCTACAAGCATATGACTACTGGCAGGATCAACTAAAGTTGTCCATCACGCGGATGCTTAGCAAAAGATGCGTGGACATGATCATCATGATGACTGCTGGAGATGCAAAAGCTGCGTGGACATGATTATCATGAGGATTGCTGGTTATCATCTTCTATAGTGTATATGAGGTATATAGTCTAATGAGGTAATAAGGATTGCTGGTTATCATCTTCTATCTTCTATCTTCTATATATAATATATATATATATTCTATATCTTCTATATCTTCTATCTTCTATAGTATACATTTTAAGGGTGACGTTAGAGAGCATTGGTGATGCAAAAGATGCGTGGACATGACTATCATGATGGCTGCTCGTCCTCGCAGCAGCAAACAGAACTAAATTGAGCATGGACAGTCTGGGATTTGAACCCGGGGCCTCCCGCATACTGAGCGGGTGTGATACCACTACGCCAACTGCCCCTGACACCACGGTGCTCAATTTGTCTATGATTGAAACGGCGAGGTACAGTTGAGGCGTGCTGCTCCTGACAGTGCCAGATGAGGGCGAAAGGCGAGGCGCATTTTCAATGGAGTGAGCCACATTCGAGGCGTGGTGCATTTTCGCGCAAGCAAAGCAAAAATGCGCCGCACTTTGGCTATTGGTGATGCAAAAAGCTGCCTGGACATGATCCTTATGATGACTGTTGGAGATGCAAAAGCTGCGTGGACATGATTATCATGAGGACTGCTGGTTATCATCTTCTATAGTGTATATTCTATCGTGCACATTCGATAGTGTATATATAGTGTATATGGTTTCGAGGCGTGGTGCATTTTCGCGCAAGCAAAGCAAAAATGCGCCGCACTTTGGCTATTGGTGATGCAAAAAGATGCGTGGACATGATCATTATGCTGACTGTTGGAGATGCAAAAGCTGCGTGGACATGATTATCATGAGGACTGCTGGTTATCATCTTCTATAGTGTATATTCTTTCGTGCACATTCTATAGTGTATAAATAGTGTATATGGTTAGCATCTTCTATTCTATATCTTCTCTTCTACTTCTATATCTATATCTATAACTTCTACTTCTATACTTCTATATCTATATCTATAATAATCTATAGTATACATTCCAAGGGTGACGTTAGAGAGCATTGGTGATGCAAAAGATGCGTGGACATGACTATCATGATGGCTGCTCGTCCCCGCAGCAGCAAACAGAACTAAATTGAGCATGGACAGTCTGGGGATTGAACCCGGGGCCTCCCGCATGCTGAGCGGGTGTGATACCACTACACCAACTGCCCCTGACACCACGGTGCTGAATTTGTCTATGATTGCAAAGGCGAGGTACAGTTGAGGCGTGCTGGTCCTGACAGTGTCAGATGAATCGCGGCCCCGACTTGCGGCGAGAAGGGGTGACCGGTGATGAGCCTCTACTGCAAATGCCATGTCACGGCACCTGACTGCAGTACCTGTTGCATTTGGTTGGCAGTCACGGCTATTCCGGAGGATTTTTTTTACATGCGCAGCATCGAATCAAAACATCGCTCAAAGCACAATGCCAGCGCACTGCAGCGGGAGAACTCATTGCGGCGGCGCCTAGTTGCTTTTGCACTAAAGGACTAGAGCCACGTTTCTGCAGAAAGAGGACTACACAGCAATGCCAAGCATGCATCTACTTACAGTTAATGAACACTGCGCGAAAAGTAGGACAAGCTCACATACATGCTTCCGTGAAGGATAGTGCTTCACATCCTTCATAGTCTACTTAGCATCATAATCTACGTACAACATGCTTCCACGAAAGATAATGCTTTTTATCCTTCACAGTGTACTTGGCATCCTAATCTACTAAATAGAATAAGCTCACAAACATGTTTCCGCAAAGGATAGTGCTTCTTATCCTTCTTGGTGTATTTAATATCATAATCTGCTAAGAAAGACAAGCAATGTCACGGCACATGCTCGAAGCAGCAGTAGAATTGTCGGCACTTTATTAGATTAGTACAAAAATGCACGAAGCTAAGGATAGAAAAAGATCACTTCAGAATGGGCGCGCCTTCTATGGAAGCGTGCCAATCAAAGCGTATTATCATGATGACCGTTGAAATCACCAACCATTTCCGTCAATTCTTGTTCACACCTCATCCAATAAAAGCGGTGCATTTTCGCGCGAAAGCAAAGCAACAATGCACCGCATCCTGGCTACAATAGGGGACCCATCGCGGCCCCGCTGCGATGATACTTTCGAGGCG